TGACTGACTTGTGAGTAGCCTTTTGAAGGCCATGAAGTAGGTCTGTGATCAGATTATCCTGGAGATCCCGATCCCTGTGGCCAGCCTGGTAGTTCCAATTTGGGTCCATGCAAGGAACAGCAATGGCTCCCACAGGCCGCCTATTATTTTGAGCACATACCTGAGCCGCCATCCAGACCTGCTCCCTGTACATGGACTCAGACAATTCCTTCCATCCCAGCCACTTCAAGGAAGGGTTATAAAAAGCCAGAGCTGAGACAGGGTTGTTACCTGATGAAGGGGGGAGAAGGGGAGGAGTTGGGCTGAGGACGAGCATCTGGAGGCCAGGAGTGGGAAAGAGGGAGAAATGTGGAGGGCTGACAGATCAGAAGATTGATCCAAATCTGGAAGGAGAGGTCAAGCATGAGCTAGGAGAATTTGAGACATAGGACAGTTTTGACAGAGAGAAGAACACATTCACAGATAGGAAAAGGCCTGAACAAGGAATCTCTACAGCTTTTGCCATTTCGGTGAGTGTCTAAATCGAGTGCCATCTTGTGGCCACTGGGATCCACTGTAACAAGGCGTTTGAATTTTAACGTCTCCCTGGAGGCCGAGAAATTGGCCAGGAGATGACCCAGAGGCGCAGAGCGGCCCAGAGGCATAGAGCACGGAGTACAGTAGAAAATGAGACGTTTAGGTTCAATGTCTCCCTGGAGGCCAAGAAATTGGCCAGGAGACAGCCCAAGGGCATAGAGTGTGGAGGTTTAGATTGTGAGGATCCTATTTAGAGGGTGAGAAAGGGCAGTCAGTCCTGGTAGAAGAAGCGTGCCAACAAACAGCATCCTCTCTGTTGCCCACCTTCTTTTCGAGAGAAAAGAAAAGCCAACCGACCAGCTAGAGGAGCATCCTCCAATAGCTGGGGGGCACGAGAAGAGTTCCCTTGGCCAGGCGCCTGGGCTTTCGTAGAGACCTGAGTCATAGACAGAGTAGTCAGGGGAACCATAGAAGCAGGCAGGACAGACCCACTGACTCACACTGAATTGAGGCCGGTGTTGGATGCATTGGTCTGAAATGACAAAAGGAGAGAGTCCCAGAGGCATCTGGTTTCAGCAGGTCCAGGAAGGATGGCCTAGGGCCAATCACCCCAAGAAAGAGGGGATCATCCACAACGTTGGCCAAGACCCTTCCCAGGTTTCAGCACCATAATGAAAGAAAGTGAGCCAAGATGCCAGGTACCATTCAAGCTTCATTAAAGAAAGAAATCTGCTGGGCTGTGCTCAGAGTGGCACAGGGCCCAGGGCTGCCCTGAAACTGGTGGACAGCACCAGGTGTGGGGTGGTAGAGCTTATACAGTGTGCCAAGGGCTGGCTGATACCATCAAGGAGGGTCATTATGCTAATGTGGATCGGGGTGGAGAACTGCATCCTTGTGGAAGTGTAAGGGGTTTCTGTTTAAGTCATGAGGCTTCTTGTAAAGGGAAGAGGGGAGGGGAGGAGTTGGGCAGTGCCATTTTGTACTTGGGCTTGTCTAAAGTGGCACTGGTTATGTTGCAGATCTATTAATAGTCCTTTCAAAAAGCAGAGAACCTTGGACTTTGTCATCTTTTCCTTTCCCTCTGAGGCCGCTAACACTGCTGCGGGTGTCAGATCCCCTCTGCTTTGGACCATCCTCACAAGCACCTACTCCCAAGATGGTTCCTTCCCCCACCCCAGTGTCTCTAACTATTCCCTGCTTCAACCTTTGCGATTTCAGGAAATAACAACTTTGTGTTACTACTCATCTGAGCCAAGCACAGTGAGAAACACAAATTAACCACACTATCAAGAAAATTACAGTGTGTTCCAAATAGACATGGAAATGACCATCTGGGAATTATGCTTGTTTGGGTTATTCGAACCACTGCTGCTCTCTGGGAGCATGGACAGTAAGAGGTGATGATATTAAATGTCTTGGTCATGGAATATCAGAGCAGCTAGGGCATCGGCACTAAGTTCCACTCTCCTTAAGTGTGGGAACCTGCCACAAAGAACCAGCAATGGGGAAAAACTCAGTTCACACTGCCCCACGCCATTTTCCTGCCTCTCCTGACACTCACCAGACACTTATATGCCCCTGGAAATCCCTGCTCATTTCTGCTTTGTTCAAAAACTGAGGGATTGCCCACATGTGCCTACCATTATTTCCTTGGTGCTACTGGACTGTGATAGTGAGAGGTGAGCAGCCTGAGAATGGGCTGCGGGCAGCATTCATAGGATAAGCTTATGCATTAAAAATGAAGAAAACACCCAAAGCACAAATAGGTAAATTCATACCCTCCACCATGACCACCACCACCACCATCACCTCTACCATGACCACCATCACCTCCACCGTTACCATCACCTCCACTACCATTGCCACCATCACCGTCACCTCTACCACCATCACCACCATCACATCCACCATCACCACCATCACCTCCACCACCATCATCACCATCACCTCTACCATCACTACCATTGCCTCCACCACTTTCACCTTTACTACCATCACCTCTACCTCCACCACCATCACCTTCACTACCATCACCATAACCACCACCACCATCAAAAAGGAAACACAGACCCTCCACCAGTTCACATACCCCCACCCCAGGGCTGTGAGTGCACTGTGGGACCTTTTTCCCTCTTCAGAGCTGCTCTGGTGGCCCTTTCAACCTGATTTTATCCCCACTCGACCTTAGTGGGATCCAGATTGTGGTTTTCCCAGGATGTTGTCCCCTGTGAGACCCTTTTGGTCCAGGAAGCAGAAGACAAAGGGAGAACTACATGACTAAGAAAGACCTTAGTCCTCCATAGTCAAGGCACTGCTTGGCCAATGTGGCCCCTGGGAACACAATCTGAAGGCACCAGAAGAGCTGCATTGCCAGGGAGAACTGTTTAAATGCTTTCCTATATCTTGAGATCAAATATATATTCTTGTGGCAAAATATCTTCTACCTAGTCAGGTCTTTTTTTAAAAAAAAAAAGTTCCAAATAAAATAAAGTGAGAGAAGTAGAGTTCTTCCTGTACAACAAGTGAAAGAAAGTCATCTATCAGAAACCCATCTCTTCATATCATCACATCCAGGGCAAGACACCCTGCATCAGAGGGGACTCTAAGCAGGCTTCCCTAGGTGGGATTTCTTGGGGACTATCAGTCCAGGAGGAGGCCAGAGACAGTGTTCACCAATCAATTGCATATGCCCAGGCCCCTGGGGCAAATGCCCTCCAGCCAGAGGCCTGAGTTTTAATTCCAAATTCCCATACCAGAGGCTTGGATTAAGTGCCTCATAATAGGGTCTGTCCAAGATTCTTGGAGAACAGAGGCTATGGGGAGATGTTCCTACAAATGCTTCCAGGAGGCCCTTCCTGTCACCTTCCATCTCTGCTTTCTGAAGTGTCAGACAACTCGTAAAGTAGGAACAAGGAGAACTCCCCACACAGGAGCATTCTGAGGAGCCAGAATGTCTAGCCTGAAGGAACAGTTGGGGTCATACAATGGAAAAGTATGTGAACAGTGGCATTCCCTAGACTTGAGTTTGGATTCTGGACTAGCTGTGCGATCTTAGTAAAGTTGCTTCTTTGAGACTTAATTTCCTTATCTGTAAAATGAAGATAATAATACTGTTGCTGTGAGAAATGAATGAAATACATATATACGAGGGTACTTCGAAAAGTTCATGGAAAAAATGAATTAAAAGATAATACATGAACTTTTTTCTTCCATGAACTTTTTTGAAGACCCTTCATAATGTGCTAGACATCAAGTGGGTGCTTAATGAATACAGGCTCCCTTCTCTTCCCCTTTTTCACCTCCCCACCCCCACCCCAATGTGCATGTGACCCAGACTATGATTTTGACCTTCTGCAAAGTCAAAGAAGAAATGGAAATTTGCTAATCTGAGCCTGTTGAGAATCAGAGGGAAAGTCACCCCCATGACAGAATTCTCTGATCTCCTCTTCCCTCTGCCCACATAAACCAGTGGTTCTCAAACTACGGTTCATATAGGAATCACCCAGGAGCTTGTTAAAATGCAGACTCTTGGGCTCACCCTTAGAACTTTTGATTCAGTCTCTCTGGATGGAGCCCAGGATCTGCATATTTCACAACCACCCCACGGGGATCCTGATGCAGGCAGTGGTCCACGGACCACACCTTGAGAAGCACCAAAGCAATCAGGGCTGTGGGTGGCTGAGAAAATAGTGAAGGAGGCAGCATAAACTTGGTTACCTTCTGCCATCAACACTTAGTCAAGCTCACCAAAAGAAAGAAAGAGACATACAGGAATCATGCAAACAAAATAAAATTCCAAACAACCAATAGTATAAACTCGCTGATTAGCCTCAATCTTTTAATGCTAACATGCATAGTTACGGGACTCTAGGAATAGACACTTTCTCAGATCAGCAAGGGGCCTCCCCGCTGCCCCCTCCCGGCTGAGACGGCTTCGCAGCCCCTCTCCTCTGAGGGCAAAGCACAAAGAAGCTCCCACAGGCAGCACACCTCTACCTGGCTCCCTTCCTAGGGCGCCTGGCACACAGTCAGTGAGGGGCCTCCCCGCTGCCCCCTCCCGGCTGAGACGGCTTCGCAGCCCCTCTCCTCTGAGGGCAAAGCACAAAGACGCTCCCACAGGCAGCACACCTCTACCTGGCTCCCTTCCTAGGGCGCCTGGCACACAGTCAGTAATTAATACATGTCTGCTCACCTGAAGCTAATTAGGGAAGAAAATGACCAACCAGTTTATATCAAAAAGCCTTTACATCCCTTTCCTGGACCAAAGGGATGGGGAGAGCAAATGGAGATGGCAATAATCCAAACCCACGGTCTACACTCGAGGAGTAAACCATAACTCCAATAAGAAGGAAACTGGAGCGTTAGTTCTTGGTTCCTTGGAAAGGGAAATGACTAAACTGACATTGGGGCCTGCAAGGGAAAAGATTTCCCCCTCCTGCCCCACTCCCACCCCCAATCTGTCCAGAGTCCACCACCTCCCACCTCTATGCAAACTGCACAGATCTTGCACTGGAGCAGGCCCCCACCATAGAGGGGGAGCACAGTGCACCACTACTGACGGCCGTGCCCCCCAGGCCATGCAGGACAGTGGAACCAAGGTCCCCACAGACCACACTGCCCTGGGAATGGCTCACACCTGTGGACAGAGACACCGAGTCAGAATTCCCTTTCATTCTAGACACAGTGTGACCCAGAATCTTTTAGAACCAATGATTAATTCTCTTCATACTCTGAGGGACCTGCAACATGAATTTTTTAAAACTACAGGCAGACCTAAATCCATTGCCATCTGCTTCTTCAGGAGTGCATTTAGCGAATTGGATACCTAACTCTACTTGGACCAGACTAATATTGAGATGTATTCATATAACTTTTGAGCAAAAACTGATGGATCACACCAGAAGAACCATCTAGAAATTCAGTTTTTGGAAAGGGGTGGGGGATAGGTCAGACACAGACACCTAGCTTAGGTTAATCTTACTTGGATTATTAAAGATAAAGATTTAGCAGTTGCCTGCAAAGGCCTCAGATGATCAGAAGATAAATCTAGCATTTCTTCTTATTAAAAAATGGTACCATTTGAGGCATATCCTGCTGTAACTAAAAGGCTTAGGCTACTTTTACAGAACCAATTAGCGGGGCAGAATTTGCCACATTCATTAACTTGGGCTTCATAGATGTTCCACATGGATCCATGTAGTGGCCAAATATTTGGGGCCATCAATTCGTCCAGAGCCCGGAAACTTCAGCCCTGGTCTCCCTCACCCAGTGACCCATAGACAGAGGCTCAGTCACCCGCCACCAGTAAGATGCAACCCAATAGCAAGACTACTGGCCCCCAGAGAGCCATGCCCACACACACCCAACTTACAGATGTTAACAGAGTCCACGCTTTCACACAACCTGCAAGGGAGAGTAGAGAATAAGCCATTAGAGCCAAGTTCCCCTGATTTTGCACCAGACTTATTCTCCTCTATCCTACAGGAGGGGAAAGGAAAGGAGAGGTGGGGGCAGGCTACCCGCCTGCTGCAGACAGCATCAGGGTTGGCACTGTTTGCTGGGATCCCAAAAGGACAAAGGTGTGATAGGTTGCAGGATCCAAAAGGCTGCTTTATAAGAATCAACATAGTGAAAATGTCCATACTACCCAAAGTGATATACAAATTCAATGGAATCCCCATCAAAATTCCAATGACATTTTTCTCAGAGATGGAAAGAACTATCCAGACATTTATATGGAATAATAAAAGACCACGCATAGCCAAAACGATGCTGAGCAAAAAAAATAAAGCAGGAGGCATAACACTACCTGACTTTAAGCTATACTACAAAGCTATAATAACCAAAACAGTATGGTAAAGGGGGAGAAGATATAACAACTACAATACTTTGAAGTTGTTACAACAAGCAAACAGAAAGGACATTGTTGGGTGGCGGGGGGAGAGGGAGGAGGGAGGGAGGTTTCGGTGATGGGCCATAATAATCAACGACATTGTATATCAACAAAATAAAAATTTAAATAAATAAATTTTTGAAATTAAAAAAAAAAAGGCCGCTTTATGCCTTGTTTGCTTTTCAACCATGGAAACTTGGTGGAGTGAAAGCTAGAGATGAGGGGAGCATCCTCTTTGTCCCCCCCACCCCAAGCTGGAAATCCCAGTGAAGCCAAAGAGGAGGTGATGGTAGCTGATGGATCTTTATCCTACGACGTTAATGCTACCCCAAACATCCACCTCATTTCATTAAATGCAGAGGGACGCTGGAGAGTATGGTGGTGAGAGCCTGCATTCTGGAGCCAGGTTGCCTGGGCTCAAATCTGGCTATGCCACTTACTAGGTGGTGACATTGGGCAAGTCATTTAACCTCTCTGTGCCTCAACTTCCCCAGCATAAACTGGGGATGATAATACTCACCTGATAGGATTGTTGTAAGGTTTGATTGAGTTCTACACGTAAAGTGCCTAAAATAGAGACTGGTGCATAGTAAGTCAGTCCAATGCAAGTGTTTGCTACTAACATTATAAACATCTCATTCCTGATGAGACATTTATATCAGAGTGCGCTTTTCACAAATGCTCCCTCTTCCCTCACACCTACCTGCACTTTCTGTTCTACGTCTCCTCTGTTTTGAATTCCCAGCATCAAGCCTTTTTCCCCAGGAAAGCTCTGATTCATTCTGCCTGACTCAGAACACTTCTTTACTCCACATCTTTGGAATGAAGATCAATGCATCAGGCTCACTTTCCTGCCATGTGAATCTGACTTTGTCACAGCCTTAAAACTGTGCCCTTCCAGAAGGTTCTAGCCAATGCCCATCATCACGCCTGTTGAGCTGCAATGCTGGCAGTGGCTACCTCTGAGTTGAGTGACTGTGGCTGCTTTTGTTTTCTTATATTCTGCATTTGCTGCATCAGGTGTTACGTGTGTAATCAAAATAAACATGCTAAATGCCAAGAGGAGGCAGCCTATTAAAAGGACAATGGCCACAATACACATAACACAATACACTTAATCACCTTTTAAAATCTCATGTGCTGGAGACAGTGCATCAATAATTATATGATTGAGTTATTAATCCACTAATTATTCTTATCATAATGAAAGTAAGTTTCACAGTGCCGATCCCGAGTGCCTTACTGAGTGCTAGTTCGTGGGCTGGGCACCTAAGGAACCAAAGGAGGACACAGCCCTGGTGGCTTCACCCAAAGCCATGAGGAAACTGACAGAAACGTTTGCTGCTTTGGTCAAGCATGAGGCACATCCAGCAGCACGGCTTGGCCGCCTTTGGTGCCGCTTAATGTCAGATTTCTAAAACTAACCAAGTTAATAAAGGACTACACAAGGGTGTAGTCCTGCCTGGCTATCTTGGGAAGCAATATTCTTATTATGGTATTAACCTACTTCTACTGGTGACTCATTAAAACTCAATCCTTGCAACAGCCTTGAGCGGTGGATTTTACGATGATCTCTGCTTTACTGTTGAGGACACTGAGTTATAAAGAGGTCACGTAGCTAACAAGTGGTAGAGCTGGGATTTGAAACCAGGCAGGCTGGTTCATTGCCTGTGAACTCCTCTATACTCTACTCCCCAGTCCAGCCTGCCCCTCTGATGGGACCAGGCTAGGGGCACTAATGGTGGAGCCATCTCAAGGCAGCAGGCCTGTGCACCCTCCCAGGTGTAAATCCACATTGCTCCTCCCCACACTGACCTCACCTGCCCCCAACTCTTGGCTCAAACTGTCAGCACAGCCTGAAGTGCTCTGTCCCTTTTCCAACCCTCAACTCTCCTGCCTCAACCTCTGAGAAGCCTCCCAACAGCCTCCCTGGGCTGCTGACCCCAGCCACCTGGAGGACTGACTTATGTCTGACCTCATCTTCTCCTGCAAGGCAAGAACCTGTGCTGCTCAGATCTATTCCCCCATCATGAACATCAGGGTGCCTAGGATGATAGGATTCATTGTCTGTGCACCCCAAATCAAATGGGATCTGCATTTAACTGATTTTCTGAACAATTCTAGCTTTTGGAACCCTCTGAAGCTGATTGCAGAAATATCCTTTCAGCCAACAGGGTAAGTGGTTGCCTTGGAATGAGTGTTAGATTACAGCCTGAGGGGGCAGAGTAGGAGGGTGTTGCTTAGCCCCCAACAGATTTGTCACCCCACTTCCCCTGGGTGATGGAGATAAAAGGATTACTCAAAGCCCACCTTTTCTGAGCAGTGAGAGGCCCCAAAGTGGTTAACTTCCCTAGGACCCTCCAGCAAGAGGCAACCCTTCCTCAGGAAATTAACCACAAATTGGGGTTCTCTTCCTGCATTTATTTTCCAGACCAGGAAGTTACAGGAGGAGAACATAGGTGGGGTTATAGTTTAACAATATAGGCTGGTAACTTTCAGTGAAACAAGCCAGATGACATTCCAGTAAGGCTATCAACAAAAGCTTGATCTTAGCACACATTCCTTCCCCTTTCTAGCTGTTTTTCAGCAACTTAGATATCGGTCAGTAACTAATCTGTCTTTGAGCCAGCAACCTTGCTGTGCCACAGTTCATATCTTGCAACAGAGGTTTTATAGCCTGAGGAAAATTTCCAGTGCTCCACAAGGTAAATATTTGAAACTGCAAAGCTTTGGAAAACCAAGCCCTGTGAGGTACATTTGCTTTATAGTATATTCCACAGGAGGAAAAGGAGCTCCCTATATGAGCCAGGAGACCAGCATTATTCTAGCTTAGCCACTAACTGGCTGTGATCTTAGGAAAGCCCCTTCCCCTCCCTGGACCTCACTTTCCCTGTCTGTAAAATGAGATCCCTAGAGTCTTTCCCAGTTTGAACACTCTCTGCCTGGAGGATTTAGTCCAGCCCTGAGTGAGGATGTGAAGGGACCCCAGAGCTCCTGTCCTCACCTCTGCTCCTCACCCTCCAGCAGGCACCTGTAGGTTCTGATCTCAATGTCCAGGCCCAGCTTGGAGTTCATCGCCTCCTGGTACTCCTTGAGCAGGCAGGCCATGTCCTGCTTGGCCTTCTGCAGGGCACCCTCTGGCTCAGCCAGCTTGCAGTGGGCATCGCTGAGGGCCGACTCATACTGCTGCTCTGTGTTGGCCACTGTGGTCTCCAGCTTGCAGCACTGTGGGGAGGGAGAGGAGAGTAGGAGTTTAAAAGGGGTGCAGGCTGTGGGGACCCTGGTGGGTTTCCAATGGCCTTGGTCATCCTATTTCACCTCCATTCAAAATAGTCAACTTTTGAACTTAATACTTTTTAAAAGAAACACATCAGTGGAAAATTAACTAGGCAGGGAAATAATAGCCCATTTTGAGCTTTTTTCCTTCGTTTTTATACCACTTTATTATAAATCTCAGCCATTAGAAGGAGGATATGTTAGCCCTAGAACAAGACCAATAATAACTAGTGATATTACCATATACCGTTGTCAGTTTACAGATGTTATCTGATTATTGCCATTCTGCACATAAAGAAATTGAGCCTCAGAGAGGCTGTGACTTCCCCTAGGCTATCCAATGAATTAGTGACAAACCTAAGTTTTCAGAGGCCACCATACAGGTCTCATTTTTTGGCCCACTGAGATCAGCATGCTGAAGGAAGTTCCCATTTGCAACAACTCCCAACAGCTAACTACAGCACCTCCCTTTTACCCCACTTAAGAAAGCGTACCAGAATGCAAATGAGCAAGAACGATGTTATTAAGGGGACAACTTTGAACCTTCTCCAATTTCACTTCTAAAAAGCAAATTTTTCCCATATTTCATTACCTGAGTCATTAATAGTAACAAATGACTTGTGAAACATCTTGCATAGAGGTCGAGAACAGCTGCACAGAAGGGAGAAGACAGAACTGAGCCAGGTCTGTGTGGGAACTCAGTATTGTGATAGAGGTAGTATCACAAATCAGGGGGGAAAGAATGGATTACATAACATATTTTCTTACTATATACAGAAAAGTTAAATTAGAGCCCTACTCACTATATATACAAAAAATAAAGTTCAGATGGATTAAAAACCTAAATGTGAAAGGTAAAACTATAAAACTAGTAGAAGACAAAAAATGTAAGGGGACACCTTTATTATCTCAAAACTTATAAATTTAAACTATTAAGGGAAGATTTGACAGACTTGGCCACCTCCAGGCTAAAGATTTCTGTCCAATAAAGGACAGCAAGCAAAGCAAACAGACAAGTGACAAATTGACAGACAGTTTGTTGCAACATGTGTAACTGACAAAGAGTTACTATCTGGATAGAATGAACAAGGGAATGCTGCAAATCACAAGGACAAAAACGGGATTCACAATAGAAAAATGGGCAGATGGTATGAATCGGCAATTCTTAGAAGAGGAAATACAAATGACTAGTAAGTGTACGAGGAACCATTTGATATTACTAGTTAACCAGAGAAGTTAAAGTTAAAACAGCAATTAGATGCCAATTCACACCTATTAGATCCACTGATAATAGCAAGTGCTAGAACAGGAGCCCTAGTGTGCTGATAATGGAAGTGTACTCTGGCATAGTTAAAGTACAAGCCTCTCCCGAGATAGTTGCAGTCCCTGAAGACAAGAGGAAAGTAGAAATCAGACGGGAAGCAGCAGGTGCACCGAGTGGGGTCTCAGCATTTCCCCAACTGCTGCTTGGAGTTCTCCACCTCGGCCAACAGTCTCTGGATCATGCAGTTTAGCTGGCTGACATCCTCCTTTTTTGTGTGGAAGTTCTCACCCTGCCTGGTCACCATGGCCTTCATCTCCTCGCGCTGTATGTTGGGAGGCAAACATGCAGAAACAGTGGCTGGAGGGTGAAGGAGAATGTCACAGTGGAGAGTCTGATGTCCCCTTCCCAATTAGCTAGCCCACTGTTCTGCAATAGTCCCACATCTGCTCTGCCCAGGATCTCAGCTGCAGCCCCTTTGGAGTGCATAGGTGCATTTCCCAAGGAAGCTCCACGTTCACAGCTCTCCTCCTTGCTCAGTGGGGCAGCCCAGCCCTCCAGTTTACCTTGGTTTGATACCAGGACTCGGCCTCAGCCCAGCTGCGGCTGGCAATATCATACTGAGCCTTGATCTCGGCCACAACCAAGTCCATGCTGAGCTCCCGACTGTTGTGCGTCTCCACCACCACTGAAGTGTCGGAGATCTGTGACTGAAGGAGATGAATTTCCTGTAGGAGACAACCAGTGCCCTCAGTTCCAAATCCCCCTCCAATCCCATCTCTGTGGGTAATCTAAAAAACAGTCCCAACTCTGAAACCTTAGGAAAGAAATTAGAAAACTACGGCAGGTTAGGAAAATTTTTAAAGTGTAGCTTTAAGAGAAAAGGCTAGAATTAGGACCACAGCCTAAAGGTGGAGTTCTGTGAATGCCTGGATCCACAGAGGCATATTTCTATGTGCGTGAGCAAACTGGATCACTCCTTCTCAGGGCCCGAACTATCCAGATCAGCTGTAGTTATATGTATACATCTAATCAACCAGATGACGGCCAGAGCCCCGGATTATCTAATTGGGTTTTTACACTACCTGAATTAGTAAATTAATTGTCAAATCTCCACTTCATGGAGATTAAACAAATTCTTTCAAATCATCTTAAAGGAAGGGCTTCACCCACTTCCATTTGGAAAGCAGGCCTGAACAGGAGAAGAGTCCCCTCTGGTCACAGAAGGAAAGATGTCTAGGAGACATCTCCTAGGTCCTAGGAGAGTAAGGAACACAGAACTTTCCCTAGATCCCAGGAATCAGGACAGGCCACACCCCAAGAAAACCCTCCTCCATGTCCTCCCTCACTTGCCCTTCTGGAGATGGGGAGAGATTTACCTCCTCATAGAGAGACCACAGGAAGACAATCTCCTCCCTAAGCTGCTCCACATTGGCCTCCAGGTGTGCCTTGTGCAGATAGGTACCATCTGCGTCCTGGGGGAGACAGACAGGAGAGGACGAGGAGCAGGGCCATTCCCCCTCACCATGCCCCTGAGCCTCTGCACTCTATGGTGGACCCTGAGGCATCTCCTGGCCCACCTCTCTGCCTCTGGTCTGCCCCTGCCCATCAATCTGTGCTTACAAGTCTAAGCTGGACTTCTCACCTTCACCTTCAGGGCCCTTCCAGGAGGGACAGGGCCTTTGTTATCTGCCACAATTACCTCCCAAGGCATAAAGATCTGTGCAACTACCTAGAGAAAGGAAATGGAGAGAAGTCTGGCCCCCTCCAGAACTGAGGACCCCACTGAACAAGGATGCCAACATCACAGCCCAGAATATCAGGCTGCTGCCTCCCACCCAGGACACAAACACATGGCAGTCAACAGAGCTTCCTCAGGGCTCATCCTCAAAGCCCAGGTCAAGCAACACCCAACACCCAAGTAGCTAACTCTCCTGCCTGAGACCAAGGTCATGTCTCTATTGGCAGATTGGTTAACAGCCTTCTTTCCACTTGGTGATTACTCACGGATACGGTGTGGTGCGTGGTGAGCATTAGTTAGAGCATTTGCATGCACTTTCACTCACCAGTTTCACACAAAATGGAAATCATTAACAGGGATTTTTTCTGTTTTTTTCATCATCTCCAGTTGCACTGAGTGGACCACACTTAAAAATCGTTAATAAGCTTAGAACCAACAACAACCAATCTGGGATAATGGGAGGAGGTGATGTCCACATGAGAGTAAAACAGATGTAAAACTGAACATTTCAGTTAATTAGGTAGTTTACAAAAAGCCAAAAGCAGTGTGATAAAGTTTTCCTTTTAAGAAACTTCCATCAGCACAGTTTGTACCCTGCATGGGAGCCAAGATGGTGTCCGCAGCCCACTTCCGCTTGCCAGGGGACTTCAGTGCCTTGCCTCCAACAACTGACTGATGTGGATATGACTGGACACTGAGCATCAGAGCGTCCAGAGTCCAAGATACAATTCTTCCCTGTATGGGAAGAGTCACTCACCTTCTTCAGCACCACGAACTCATTCTCAGCCGTGGTCCTGAGGGCCAGCTCTTCTTCATACCTGAGGGGAGAGGGCACAGGTGGAAAGGCCCCTGGAACTGAGAGACCAGGGCTGGCCAGCCAGACCCCAGATTTACAAGCCTTCCTGGTTTTCCTCTTACTTTCTATGTGCCTTTGGACCAGAGGTTTGACCTCTATGGACTTCTATTCTCTAGTCACAATAACCCATCAAAAGGACACTGGACTTGGAGTCTGGGTCCCAAATATCTGGTCCCAGCTTGGATTGAACTTGCTGCAAAGCCTGAGGCAAAACATTTAATCACTCTGTCTCTTGAGTTAAATCATCTAGTGTGCACTGAGGTACACAGTAAATATTTGTGGGATGAGTGAGAGACAGACAGATATTCCAAGGAGGCTTTAAACTCTAAAATTATACAAACCCCAAAGTTCTATGAAGCCATCCCCTATGAGGTTTTATTTCTTCTCCCCCAATATCCAAGGACTTGAATTACTACAGGCAACCCTTTGCTCAGGGGCATTTCCCCCACCCTCCTCCACCAGCCTGGCCCCATTCCCCTTGCCAGTAAGGCCTTACCCCTGGAGTGGCCCTGGTCTAGCCAATATGGAAGACAGGAGTTCCCAGAACATGATTTTCATGACTTTTTAATTACAGGGTAATTTGAGCCACAATAAACTTTCAGCTCTATAATTACCAGCCCTCACATTCCTGGAGTCAGAGACAGACTTTAACACCTGCCCACTGGGGACTGTGTCTACACCTCCTTCACCCCAAGGGAAGACCCACTGCTAGGTCCATCTGGACATGGTAAAACCTCATCCTCCAAGACCAGAATTCCAAGGAGGGGTAGAATTAATAGAACTGGTTAGTGTAGAAATCACCCTTCACTCTGTCCATATCCACAAGGAAAAGAGGGACAAGGTAACAGTGACCCAGTGAGTTTACACAAGGTAATGGGCAAACTAAACAACTCAGGCTGAAACAAAAGACTTGCACTGGCATTTGAATTGCACAGCCCTGCAGAATTGAGAGCCTGATGGTTTATTTGCAGGGTAAAGAAATAATCAAAGTTCGTCACATACTTTGAAGGGCACCAGCCAGATCACTTTCAAGGTATCTTTTCCAAGCCTTTCCCTTTCCACCCACCCACGTGCTGACTGCTCCTGGGTCCTGCTCTCCAGCCCTGCTGGTCTTGGTGCTTCTGTTTCATTTATTCCTCTCTCTTTATCTCTGTGTTAGTTTGTGCCCTGGATGTGTGCCCCATCCTTCCCAGATTTCTTTTCTACAAATCTTTCCCCAGTCCTCAGGTTGGAGCTGCAAGAGCTGGGAGCTGAGACAGGAAAGAGCAGACTGATACAGCAGAACTGTCTGATGGCAGTCAGAGTAACCCTTCAGTTGTGTGGCCCCAGCTAAGACCTACTCCACTCCCTGTAACTGCCTCAGCCCAGCCACACTCATTTCTTCTTGTAGCCCTCCAGCACCTCCAGCACCTCCTGCACGTGGTTGAGCTCCGAGGACAGCCTCCCGCCTCAGCGTCTCGATGTAGCCCTCAAACAGCGGCTCCAGGTTGCTCTCGCAGCACTTGCAGTTCTGGTAGAACTGCAGCTTGGTCTCCAGCAGCTTGTTCTGCTGCTCCAGGAAGCGCACCTGCCATTGGGGTGGAGGAAAGAGACTCAGGGAGGAGTCTTGGGGGAGGTGCCTGGGCCCCCAGAGCTCCCTCTGCCCTTGGGCATGGCCCCCACCCTGCAGCAGCCTGTGACCCTCCTCAGGAACAAAATCATCGGTGAAGTCTGAAAGTACAGGTCACAATCATTCCCCAGGTAACTTCCCTCCACCCCGTCCTCACCTCCCAGAAAGAGCAGACAATTTACAGCCATGTGTTTATTCTGCACAGAATGAAATAACATCTGATCCTGCAGAAATATTTCAGACTATGTGTGGTAGGCCGAATAATGGCTCCCCCAAAGATGCCCATGTCCTAATCCCTGGAACCTGTGAATATGTTACATGACCTGGTAAAAGGGATCTTGCAGGTGAAATTAGGGTTAAGGACTTGAAGATTGGGAGATTACCCTGGATTATCCAGATGGGCCCAAAGAGGTCACATGGGCCCTCCAAAGTGAAAGAGGAAAGCAGAAGAGTAAAAGAGATACTCAGAAGAGACAGAAGAGGGATTTGAAACATGAGAAGGTCTTGACCCACTGTTACCGGCTTGGAAGCTGTAGGAAGAAGGGGCCACAAGTCAAGGAATATGGCTCAGTCTTAGAAGCTGATAACAACCACCAGCAGCCAGCCAGTAAGGGAGCAGGGACCTCAGTCCTACACCCATATGGAACTCAATTCTGCCAAAAGCCTGAATGTCCCTGAAAACAGATTTTCCCCTGGGACCTCCAGAAAGAAATGCAGCCCTGCAAACATGAGACAGTATGAAATTTACTATCTCATGAGGCCATGTGTTGTTTTCAGCTGCTAAATTTATTTGTATGGCAGCAATTTTTAAACGCACCCACCATGACACTCCCTCACTCTGATGCTGGGGCACCGGAGCCCAGGAGGGAGGTCCTGGGACCAGGATTTAGGAGACCTCATGCTACCTAACTCTGCCACCAAGGAGGCCACTTTGCCTCTCTCTCCCTGAGCCTCACTGTAAGCTGAGGCAGGAGGAATACATCAGCAATGTGCACTGGCAGCTTGCAGGCCCTATCAAGCCAGGCACATTTTATTTGGCCTGCCCATTGTTTTCCAGAGATCTGATTAGTTGCCAACATTAAATAATTGAGTGATTTCTGGCAAGAATCTGGATCTCTCTGTCCTTCTTGACAACCCAGAAGCTCTGGCAATGCTAGGCCTGTGGCTAGAGGGAGTGGCAGCTGCTGCCTTTCTAGGGGGGCAAAACTCTCAGTGTGGCTTCATTCACGTGACCTGCAAGGCCCCCACTGAAGTTTGCAGTTGCCACCTAAACTAAGTGATTTCCTCTCAAGCTCTACCCTCCTTGGTTTACAAGCCTCATCCAAAACATTCTCAACTGTTTGTACTGTGGGGAAAGATACCAAATTCTGATGATACAAAAGGCATCTGCTTGGGTTTCAACATGCAGGCCCAGGGCATGGGGCAGCCCTCTGGCTTGCTGCTTTTTCCACCACTTCGATGGAGTTTGCAGCCTGGAGCTCAAGGCCATTTGGAGCCTGAAGGAAGGATACTGTAGAGAGGCAGGTGGCTCCAGGGGAGGAGAAAGCTGGAACTGACCCTTCTCAACAGAGAGACTGGTATTCATGGGTGACACCAAGAAGGACTTGAGTCTGCTCAGGGACCTCCTTGTGTTTTCAAGCAAATGAGGAAAAAGATGCCCTTCCAGGCAGATGCAGCCCCCTTCCGGGGCACAAAGCCCGGCAAGCAAAGCATGGGCTCAATTTCAGCCTCCCCGACTCTTGGTGGGTGTCCTTTTGCAATGAATAACAAGCATAACTCTACAGTCAGCTTCTCTGTGCTGATGGAAGGCAGGTGTAGTTTGGACGCCAACACTATGTTAAGAACAATGTCCAGCACCTTTGTTTGCAGATACACCCATTTCTGATGGTGATGTTTGTCTGAGAGTAAAGCTCCCGCCCATCATCGCCCTGGTGTATGCCTTCTTACACCGCCCCTGGGTTGGGGACGTGCACACCACTCAGCCCTGGAAGATGGGCCTTTCCTCACTTGGACTTCAGTGGCTGTCCTCCCCTAAAGATTATGAGTTCTCAGAGGGGGCATCACTAGGTGAAAGGAAACCAGGGCTATATTCCCAACTAGAAGGGCTCAGAAATAGCAACAACAGACAAGTGCAAATCAACAGCCTCTCTGTGGACCATCCCCTAAGTTTCTCAATTCACTGCCTTTAATCTATGTAAGGGTTAGAGGGTGGAGGGTGCCTTGGGCAGAAGTCCTGAGGATTCAGGGCCTTCCTACAATATTCCCACCAAGAAGAAGCAGAAGGAGCCCCTGGCCCCTCTTCATCCAGGTTCCCCTCTTCATGCTGGGGATGGCAGCATCTCCTCTAAGAAGGAGGTCGGGCACCAGCTGGGGCAGAGGTTCCCACCCCACCCCCAGCCTCCTACTGTGCAAAGGCTGGGATCCAGAAGCTGGGGGCACAGACACACATTCAGCTCTTGCTGAGCAGTGTGAGCAGCAGCACGGAACCCTCCAGTTCCACCTGGTGGTTTCACATCCACTGTTGCCATGACTCTCATGGCAACAGTTGAAAACCAAGACCCTGAGTCAGCCACATTCTCCAGGCCACATGCTAGTCAGTGGCAGGAGAATTTGAACCCAATCCATCATCGGGTTCCTTGCCCCATCGTATGCCACAGCTCTAGGGGACAGCACACAGACCCACCTTGTCGATGAAGGCAGCGAACCTGCTGTTGAGGCACTTGATCTTCTCCTTCTCCTCGTGCTTCATGCACTGAGCGTTGGGGTCGATCTCCAGGTTGAGGGGCACCAGGAGGCTCTCGTTGACCGACACGGTGGTGATGCAGGGGGGGCTGGGTCTGCAAAGGCCCCCTGCCCGGTAGCCAAAGCTGCCCCTGCTGCTTAGGGGCCATCCGTAACTCATCGCAATCTAGGGGGACCCCACTGCACACAGGCTCTGGATGCCAATGCCCACAAGATGCCCGTAGCCTGGCCCCCCAGGACCACCCCCGCTGTAGGCCATGGCACTGATGCAGCTGTGAGCTCCAGGCCTGGGCACGATGGTGGAGCGGGAGCTGAAACCCCTGACCCTGAAGCTGGAGCTGATGCGGTAGGAGTGGCTCGCCATGCCTCTGCTCTGCAAGACAGTCCCAGGGAATGTGGAGCAGACTGAAGGATGGCAAGGTCTCGCAGCAGAGACCTGTTACTCCTCCTGCCTTTTATTGGGCAGAGGACAGGCCTCCTGACAACATAAAAGGCAGGAGAAAGTTATTAATGCCCTTTATGAGCGTGGGAATCTCCCGCTAGTCAGATTGAAAGGAAAGCCAAAACCTGCCTCAAGGAGACCCTGCACCACAGTAAACCTGTCTCTGCCTTTCCAACCTCATGGGCCTGGACCTATCTGCTGAGCCCCTTATTCCCCTCCAACGCTGTGAGTACACCAGGGATCATTATCTCACACAGGCAAGTCAAGGCTCGAGCCAGCACCTTCCTGAGACTCAAAGGGTCCTACGTCCCACTGAGGTCCCACCTGATCCTCCCAGGTAAAGCCCGTGTGGAGCGACTCTGTTCAAGCCATTCCCTATGCCTGCTTCAGGCTACCTTCTGTCTTACAGTATAGTCACTGGAGCTCATGTTGGCCCTGGGAAGGCAGAACTCATGCCTACAAGTACTTACCTTTCTGTCCCCCACGGCAACTAACACATCTCAGGTCCTCAGGAAGCACTGGTTGCATTGAATAGACTGGACACAGGATGGAGCACCATAGCTGGAGAGTTTCTTCATCTAGTCTACAAATACTGACTGACCTGCCACTCTGTGCCAGTCCCAGGAGCTGGCCTCAGGAGCTGGCCTGGAAGAGACGCCTTCATCCAGCAGGTGTGTGCTCGGGTGCTGCAAGGCCTTAGTCTACATGCTGAGAGAAACGAAGCTAGGTGGGCAGTTTGCCCTTGCAGAATCTAGACCTCACTGGGGAGACCAGACAGAGACAGGAGAGACCCAAGGCAAGAGAGGGAAAGGGGCACAGATGGTGTGCTCTTGCTTTCCAACAAGGGTCATTCACAGCTGGCTGGAGGGTCACAGAAGAGGTGAGACCAAACCAGGTCCTGGAGGATGGTAAGATCTGGTGGGGAGCAGAGGCAGGGATGCAGAGCCACCAGGCAGAGCTATGATGCAAACCTAATTCCTAAAGGAATTACCCCATACAAGAGATGCCTCACAAAGCCAAGGCCCTCAGCCAGGGCTGCTCACCCAGCCTCCCACCCCAGTGCACAGGACAACTTCTGTGTCAAACCCAGAAGAACAGGATGGAAATGGCACTCAATAGGGAAAGCATCAGCCTCTTTGATAGAGCGCCAGTGACAGCCCTGACTGTAATCATGCCAAACCACCCCAGCCCCCCAGGCCCTTGAGTAAATCTCTCTATGCATGAAGACAAGAATAAAAAATAATCTTCCAGAGCTCTCTCCAGAGAAACAGTCTTGGGGAACGGTACAAGAAAAAGCCAAATACAACAGAGAGAATGGGGAGTCTTTCTGGGTCTCTCTCTCACACATACATACAATACACATATACACAGATACACACATACACACATACATCTGCAGAGGACAGAATCACATTCTATGATGGGATCCAGAGGGAGCACCAAGCTGGGATGAGGGTCTTGTTTCTGCATCTGCAGGACAGAGCTCCAAGGGTGAACCAAGTCAGCCAGGGAGGCCTGGGGAGACACCCTGGGAATTGAATTTTGTAAGGAAACAACTTACTCCAGCCATTTGCTCTTGTGTCCTCATGGTTGCCTCACCCCTTTCCAGCCAGAAGCACAACTTCCACACTAACCCTAACCGGTGGGGAGGAGTTGAGTGTGTCCAGAGGCGAGAGGGCTCCTCCATGGTGGACACACTAAACAAGGGATGAAATTCAAAACTGATGCTCTGGAGGGGCCTGTCTCAGACTGGTTCCTATTGGTTTCTTTCTTTCAGTCAACTAGTATTTATTGAACACCTAGTATATGCCAGGCACCCTTCTGTGACCTGGGATATGTCAGTGAATAAAACAGACAAAGATGCATACCTTGTGGGTTTACATTCCAGTGGGAGAGGTGAATGATAAACTTAATAAATGAATAAGTTAATGTTAGGTGGTGATGAGTGCTGTGGAAACAAGAAAGAAGCAGGCTAAGGGGAATCAAAAGAGCTGGGAGAAAGAGTGAGATACAGTTTTGACAGGGCAGTCAGTGCAGGCTTCACTGGGAAGGTGATATCTGGGCAAATATTTGCAGGAGGTGCGGGGACAAGCCATGTGGGCCGAGGAAAGAGCCTGTGCAAAGGCCCACGGTGGGAACAGATGTGGTGTGTTCCCACCAGGAGTGAGGAGGCTGGTGTGGCTTGAGCAGCAAGATGAGGGAGAGTTCCAAGCATGGGCACATTCGAGAGAGACAGGGGGAGGTCCTCCAAGTGATCATGGACAGAGTGAAGCATGGAGCTTTGGAGGGCTTTGTGCAGAGGACTGACATGACCTGACACGCTTAAATGATCGCTCTGATGACTACCTGAAAAACAGACTGTAGGCGAGGCAACAGTGAAAGGAGAGAGGGGAGCGTCCTGCAGAAATCTGGGGAATGGCAGAGGATCCTGCCAAGGGAGGAAGCCCGGGGGTGGGGGTGGGGGGTTGCAGGGAGAAGCGACTGGATAGAATCTGTAGAAAGACTGGATTTCTTGACAGATTGGATTGGGGATGTGAGAGAAGGGGAGGAATCAAGGATGGCTCCACACTTTCTTTCTGGTTAAAGTTATCTTTGCAACAAAAAAAGCAGTAGTGCAGTGAGACAAACGCCAAGGTGAGTGTCCTAAATGCTCATCCTGGCTCTGCGGACTCCTGCAGCCTGGTACAAGTCATCCACCCTCTCTAGTCTCCTGTGCTCTCAATGGTACATGCAAAGCCGGACCAGATGACTTTCAACATTTCCTGGGGAAGTCATGCAGTCTTTTTTGTTAGAAATCCTTTTGCGTTCATCATTCCACTGGGCACATGCCAAGTCCACTAGATAGGTAGATAGGTAAGTAGGTAGGTAGGTAGACAGACACAGACATAGACACAGGTGTAGACACACATGCACCACCTCATTCTTCTCAGCACCACGCATGGGTCTATAAACCTCTTTTCATCTTCTCTTTTCTAGGAGTCTTGCTTCGCTCACTGTCCACCAGCCAGCTCAGCATGGCAAAGCCTGACAGGGAGGTGAGATCGTAGAAGAGCAGTTTTGTTTTGTGGCAGCCCCCCCACACACACACACACAAACACACACCTGTGCAAATCTCCATGTTGAAGAATACCAAATAAATTTGACATCCTTCCTGGAAGGCTCTCTGGTGAGAGTGAATTAATTGGTGGGGATGGGGTCTGGGATAGGGAGAGGGAGAGCTAAGGAGTGATGAGAAAATATTAAGATCAACTTTGATCAGCAGGTAAATTATCCAGATACCAATTTCTTACCATCATTGTTAAATCTGTTTAACGACCTCCTTTGTTATGCCATCTCTGTCTACACAGACTCACAGTCCTGAATGCAGAGGCAGGATAGCCAAGATAAAACTGTACTTTTCCTTGTGTGCACTGATCACCTTGGCTGAAACGACCTGCTCTAGAATTGTCCTTCATACATCATTATCCATTTTATCATTTCCGAAACTGTTCTCTTCCCAGGTTTGAAAATCAAGAGACCACCATCTCTCCAACCTCAAAGATGCCTTATTTTCCCCCAAGTGCCAATATTTCTTTTTTGTTTTGTTCGTTTGTTTTGTGTGGAGGGTTTTTGGTGTGTTTTTTAAACTACTTTATTAAGGTATGATTGTCATACAAAAAGCTATACATTTTTAATGTATATAATTTGATGAATTTGAAGAGAAGTTTATATCCATGAAACAATCACCACAATCTATGCCATAAACCTATCCAAAAGTTTCCTCCTTCTCTCTTTATTATTATTATTGTTATCATTATTATTATTTTGTGACAAGAACACTTAACATAAGATCTACCCTCTGAGAAAATTTTTAAGTATGCAATATAATACTGTTAACTACAGGCACTGTGCTATAAAGAAGATCGCTGGGACTTATTCATCTCGTATGACCAAAACTTCTTACAGTTATAACTGTCTGTTTAGAGCTGATAACAACTTAACTCCAATCACACACAAAACCTCTACATTTTAACTCTCCTCCCCAAACATTTCATTTTACTGATGTCAGAATTTACTTCTTTTTATATAGTGTATTCATTAATGAATTTTTGTGGTTATAGTTATTCTTCATACTTTCAACTTTTAAAAGTGATTTATGCACCACTATTACAGTATTAATTTATTCTATATTTGTCTATATATCTGCTATAGATTGAGTGTGCCCCCAACCTCACTGAAGATTAAATCCCCACTGTAAATGTTGAGGGTAGGAAATCCTATTATGGTAATTGAAAGGTGGGGCTTTAAAGAGGTGATTAGGTTGTAGGACCATGCCATCGTGAATGGATTAATAATGGTGGTCAGCGGTGTGGTTCTGAGGGCTTTAAAAGGAGAGTGCATGAGGAGCCATCTCCCTCTCTGCTTCACCATCTTCTGCCATATGAGACCCCTGCATTACTGTAAAGCCACCACCAAGAAGATTCTTACCAGATGTGTTCCCAGGACTTTCCCAGCATCTGAAAGTGTAAGCAATAAATTTCATTTTCTTTATAAAATACTCAGTCCCATGTATTTTGTTATAAGCAACAGAAACAGACTAATACAATATTTATCTTTACCAGTGATATTTATACTTTTATATCTTTTTATGGTGCTTCTAGCATCTGTTTGTTTCAACTTGAAGAACTCCCTTTAGCACTTCTTGTTAGACAGGTCAAATGGTGACAAACCCCCTCAGTTATTGTTTGTCTGGAAAAGTCTTTATCTTTCCATCATTTTAAAGGACAGTTTTACTGAGTATAGTATTCTTGGTTGGTAGTTTTTTCTATCCATACTTTGAAAATATCATTCCACTCTTTCCAGGCTTGCAAAGTTTCTGCTGAGAAATACACTGATAGTCTTGGGGAAGGGGTAGGAGGGTTCCTTTGAATGTGATGAGTAGC